TGTACATTTCAAATGAGTGTACATTTCAATTTTCAAATGAATGTACATTTCATAATTGTAATGTTTACTTTAACAAGTAAATATTTTAATACGTTAACATCTTAACGATAATATGTTTCTTCTATATTTGTAATTAATTTAACTGTTGGACTTCCGGAGACTTGTTTATAGAAACGTTTTACTTGAACAGCTTTGCCAGAAATCATATTGAATATAACGCTTACCGAGACCTTGATAATTTTGCATATCGCAAAAAAATTAAAATATTAAAATACTGTGTTTATTATTTTTCAAATGTATAATAAAACAATTATTGAATTCGGTTTTTGCGATATGCAAAATTACCAAGATCTCGGTAAGCGTTATCAGCCTCGCCTTCGGCTCGGCTGATAACGCTTACCTCGACCTTGATAATTCCGCATATCACAAAAACCTCATCCAATAATTGTTAATTATTGCATGGTCATTTTCTTGTGAAATATTAGTGCTAGGCATTTCACAGTTACCAATGACCACCACCAAAAGTACCATCTCTGAACCATATAAGCACCTCAGAATAGCCAAAGCTTGGCCAAAGCATATGGCAGTATGGCGAAAGCATTGTTTTTGGGTGAGCTCAGTTTCGGACGTTTCGTCCCGGATTGGGGTTCGGGCAGCGTTACCATGTTGACCGTCATGGTCAACTTGCCCTAAAACAGTTGAAATTATCTGTCCTAAATGAAATGCATACAAACTCATATACAGGTCCTAGACTAGGATGAAATATACTATAATTGCATCAATTCATTACATTTCTTAACTCCTTTTCGACCACCCCCTTTCGCATCATATTATGACACAATTTTTCTAATATAAACATTTCAGCGAGTATTTACCCCCCTTTTAAATAAATACCACCATTGTAATCCTCACAAAATAACCTTTCAAACGGGGGGTCAAGTGCCGTCTGAACATTACACAAACCGAAACAATCATATATTTACTCACCGCTTGGCCAAAGATTCTAAATTTCATATACACAAGATCTTGAATATCTGAATATCATTGAAAAATATCATTGGCGTACGGGTGGACAGAAATTGCCCGACATTGTCATGAGTTTATTTATAGATGAACAAGAGGTATAAAATAGAAGGAACATAACTCCTATGCAGACTTGCAGAAATTCTGTTTGAAGTCAATCTTAAAACAATTGCCAAATTTTTAAAGCAGAATCCTGCCCAACTGAACACTGACTGGAGGGTTGCAACCCCCAGCCTCGTACGCCTATGGACAGAAATTCTCACAGGCAAAATGTTATTATTACTATGATAATAACTTTTAGCCCCCCCCCCCCATTAACATCTCATTGTCTCATTAACCCATTGAGTGGCAGCACTCTCCACTTGAGGAGTAAAATGGTCTAGCATTAGACAGAGTAAAATACTAAAGTAGGGTGCATCTGGGCGTATTGCCACTTAAAGAGTTTAAAATACAATGTTTTTGTACAGTCGTACTGTATTTTATGTTTGTAAAAACCTTTGTACTTTTATACCTTTGGTGATGTTCCAGGACTCTGAAACAAAGTTCGACTTGATGTTGAATTCTTCAAACGTGAAATTTTGTGTCTCTTATTATTAGGTTTCCCTGGGGTATCACCTTTAGACGTATATACCCTCGTATATACTCGCTTTTAATATGGCAGTATCATTTCATTCGTCACTAACAATGACAACATCACTACTATCTGCATGATTCCATGTCCGAATTCTATAACAAAATGACAAAAATACAGTCAATACAGTAAACTAACATTCTGACCTTAATTGTAAAGGTAACATTACACTCAAAATATGTAACAACTACATGCGTATGTTTCAAAGATATAGAAAATAGTTTCCTTCGCGCCATAAGGATCAACACCCGGTCTATTCCCGCCATCGGCATTAAAATATAGCAAAAATACCCCATTTTCAAACCGCGATTGCTTGTCGATTTGGAGGAGCGATCTAGCGTTTTAAAGAACCAACAGAAAGAGCAAGTCTTCCTGAATTTAATGACGTGTTTTTTTTTACTTTTCTCATTAAAAAAGGTAGTTCGCTCCTGCGTTATTTCAAAGCCATTTTTTTGGCGTGTCCATTGACCCAAAACAAGCATAAATACAATGCGTAATTAGCATAACTAAAAAGCAATATCTATACCAAAAAAATATAAAACTGTTTAATTAGATGTCCAAACAAAACAATTATCATCACATACCTTCGAAAAAACGAGATCTTCAGAGCCAAAAATCGCAATATATTTCAACAACTTTTTCGTTAACGTTTGCCAAAAATCGTAATTGTGAATAATAATGAGATGCAATGCATTGTGGGAAGACCCTCACTCCTCCTCTGGATTCTGTCTGTATACAGTACTTGTAAAATGTTTTGAAGACCCTTTCTTGGCTGTTACAAAAAATAGTCATGTCTAATTCAAAATCTAACCAATTTAAATGAAAATTGAACCTTAATTTAAATATTTATAATAATATAATTCACCTGATATAATTCCTGCTGTATAATATTCTTCAGACACATGTTATTTTAAACCATTCTTGAAATACTTGTTATATATTTCTAGGACAACAATTGAAAAGATCTCTTTTCGAGGTCCTCCAAGGTCTTGTGCTGTCTACAAAAAACATGGATAGATAAATGTTTTACAGTGCATCTACTGTAAATGGGACCACTTACACAACAGTAACCAATCACATTGCAGAGCAAAAATAGAAAATCACTAAATGATGCATTCGCCAATCAGCATGCACTACGCCAAAAACAATGTCGATTTCATAAGTGTAAAATGTCATTTGAAAAAGTCAACAAATATCGTAAATGGTAATAGTTATGTACCGCATGACGCTTCCATATCTAAACCAAAGATTGCCACCACTTTTTCGTGAGAGAGCTTTGGATTTGAATCATCAGAATTTTCCCAACAGCAAATTGCCTGGTCAATGAGAAAAAGTCGGCACTTTGTCCAGAATGTTCTTTACGGCTACGATTGCACAAACGAAAAATGGAAAAACTAATGAAACCAAGTATATATCTAACTAAGTTGTGTGACAATTTTGTCCTCGATGGTGTGGTTAACATTGAACATGTCCTGAGTAGAGCAGCAATATCAAGATGCATTAGATCAGATCTGTTGATGTCTTACAAAAAGCTAAGTGTTATGCCATTGGAATCGACAACAGCAAATAATGTTGCTTTGACAGATGCTTACCTGGAAGAAGTAAGTGACCTCAATCCAGCCGCGCTTCACTTCTTTGATGAAAGTAGTGTAAAAAAGATGTCAGGGAATTGAAAATTTGCTTGTAGTTACATCGGAACACCGGCTTTTGAGTTCCAAAGATATGCATCTAATGCCACCTACACAATAAATCGATGCATTCAATGCAAGGTATAGACCATATGAACGTCCTTGAGGGACCCTCAAATGGAAATTCAATGCTACTGTTTTTTGAAGTGGCAGTTGAAATACAAAAAAGGGATGGATCTCCTGTTTTGGAAAGGGGTGATACAGTTATCATGGACACCATTGTAACTTTGTCAAACCAATGTTGATCGAAATGTTGGCTAAGTACAGCATTTGTCTAATGTTCCAACCGTATTTACCTGAATTGAATATTTGTGAGTTGTGTTTTCACCAAATGAAATGTTGCTTGAGGCACAATGAACTGGCAGTGGCATGCTGGGTACTATTTTTCTGGGGGGGGGCCAGTAGGCTGTCAACAAATATGCGCCCCTATGTTTCGCTTGATAAACGAGGGCCGAAGGCACGAGCCGAGCGCCGCAGGTGCGAGGTTTGTCTAGGGGGGTCCGAGGGCATGCCCCCCCAGGAAAATTTTTGAATTTAGAGTCTCCTGGACTTTGGGGGAAGATTTGACAGAAATCTGATGATCAGGAAATGGCATTATAACGTGTCGAAATTTGTAATTTGGTTTGAATTTAGTAGTAGTAGTGGTACTCATATTATGCAATGCTAACAACTTCCAGCGATTAATCTACAGTAATCCCAATTCTATTCTCTACTGATCTAGTGATCTGAATACAATTACAACATACAGCTCTTTTATACAATAACACACGGACCCCACGCATATGCATTTTAAGGTTTCCCTGCCTGGCTGCCAAAAGGGCACGTGTCAGAATTATTTCATTACTCACATTACTCATGATGTTTCTAGCGCAAACAACTAAATTGCGTACACAACTTTACATTAATATCATAACTTAAACTATCTAATTTGCGCCGCTCTTGTGATTTGTAATAAAGGGCAGTGAAGCATAATAAAGGGCATAATACCAGCAAAAAAGGGCATAATTCCCGTGATCGCTTCGAAACCTGACCAATATTCCGGTGATGAGACATTGCGTGTGATCACAGTTCATGTTTCTATATGAACGATTTCGTGTGTGTCGTGAGGTAGCAAATTAGCAAATACGGTTAGTTTAATATAATACGGTTAGTTTAGATATAATTTAATATATCACTTTGTCGCCTATGCGCTTAGTCTGTTTTATAAGCCTATAAACACATCTTTTCTCGGAGGAAGTAAATATATTTTTGCGAATGCGTTTTTTCCAACCCACTTTCAAAACTCGGCGCGGGATCAGCGCCCCCTTTTCATTTTTGCGCCCTGCAAGAATTGCCAGCTGGGAGGGGGCCTTGCCCCCCCCCCCTGCCAGCACGCCACTGTGAACTGGACGCTGAATATTTCACTGAAATTCCAATATACAATGCATGTCTTGAAATATCAGCTGAACACTCTGCAGCATATTTTAGGCTCTGTGGATATTTGTGGTTAGCTGGAAAATGCAGACACGGACAATGCGGACACAGACAACACAGACATGGAAAAAACACAGACAAAAAAACGCGGACATGGAAAACACAAACACTATATAGTACACACAAAGTCTGCATATAACGTGAATTTTTATCTTCCCCAAATATCTTCTCTTATATTTATTAAGATTCTTAAAAATGTCAATAAAAGGCTAAGGTTATTTAGTGAAATAAGTTCTATAAATTGTTAAAGGAATCTCCATTTTTTTTATGATATAGCTGTAGAAAACTTCATGTTACTTTTATATAGTGTCTAATGAGCACGAGTACTAGTGAGCGTTTATACACCATGATGTGAGTTTATAGTTTATATTAAATAAAGAACGTTATCTAAAGTGAATTATGTGTGAGTTTTAAGGAAACGTACTGGCTCGAGATTGCTACGTTTTCGACACAGTGGCGACCACCCGGCAGGATTAGCGAACCTTTTGCGAGAAAGAGGAAATTTTTTTAGTTGGCAACAAGCGTACACATTTCATCGGCAAAGTGAAAGTGACATTTTACAACAATATTTGTGAGTTTGTCCATTGTCATTTTGTGAATAATCATTGAAATCTATTAGCTTGGCTTCGTTTTGATATTTGGGACTTATTTTCTGGGTTTTTTTTAAACAATATTTTTCCAATTTTGTGCTATAAACTGTTGATTCTTGTGGAAATATTTATTGGTGTTGTGCCGACCGCGCATTCGCGAGACACTCGGAGACCTGGGAACGAAATACATCTCTACTTCATTTAAGCAAACTATATCGTACTGTAAGTTATTCTGGGCGTTTTTTTGTCTTAAATTTCGGGAACGTTGAGCTTTAGCAAAGCTATTCTAGCTAAAAACACCCAAATTAAAATGGATAAATCATTGGAAGAACTTTCATGCAAGCTAAAAACATTAAAGTTTCGGATGAACAAGACCAATGACGTTATCGATAAAAGGGATAAGGAGGCTCTGGAGTGGCAACGTTTATCTGTCGTGTCAAGTGCAACGGTAGTAAACACCATTAAAGAGACCATTGAAGAGAGCATGTTTGCGAAGGGAGAAACAGAAGAAAAGGTAAAACAATGGTCACAGGAAGTCGAAGTTTTGTTGCCTGAGGCAGATCAATGCACCTGTTTGATCACCAACGAAGAGGCTGCTCAAGAGAGTGTGATGTTAAAAGAACAACAGCAGAAGTTGCAGTTTGAGAAAGAATTGACAGAGCAACAATTACGTCAAGAGCAAGAATCTGTTGAAGAGAAAAGAAAACTTGACCTGGACCATCATGAAAGGCTGAAAGAGGCACAACAAAGCTCAACCCCGCATGAAACTGGTCCTGTAAAAATGCCAAAGCTGGTTATAACTAAATTTGATGGAACACCTCAAGACTGGGTCAGATTTTGGGGACAATTCCATGTACAGATTGACAAATCCAATGTGGATCCTGTTACGAAGTTTTCATACCTAAAGGAGCTAGTGGAAATTAAGGTATGCAAATTAATTGATGGGCTCCTGTTTACAGATGAAGGATATGAAAAAGCGAAGAGTCTTTTGGAGAAAAAATATGGAGAATCGAGTGAAGTAGTTGGTGCATATGTGAGAAGTATACTGGAGTTACTGACCATACAAAAAAGAGACGTAGTGAAAATACACAACTTTTATGAAACACTGCTATACAATGTTGAGTCATTACAAACATTGGACAGTCTTGGTAAACTGGACGCGGCAGTTAGATTCACCGTGGACAAATTCGATGCGATTCGGAGCAAATTAGCGATGACTAATGAAAACTGGAACAAATGGACCTTTGGACAATTTGTTGAAGCTCTCGGAAAGTGGACGAAAAACAATCCAGTAAAAGATAGTCAACAGAAGAAGTTTCCAAGAGAAAGGGGTAGATCATTTTTTTGCAAATAGAGACAATGGTAATGTGTATCACATGAAGCCCTTAGTACCACAAAGCCCTTAATTGTGACAAAGTTGTTCAATGTGAAGACCGGAAGAAAATCTTCGCAGAAAAGCATCTGTGCTTCAACTGTGCGGGGGGCAAACACAGAGCTGTGGATTGTAAGAGCAAGAGTAGATGCCAAACATGCGGTGGAAAATATCACACTACAATTTGTGACGAAAATACAGAATGTAAACAACCTGGTATGACCGCCAATCATGTTGGCCGAAGCAAAGTGGTACATCTAGTGGTAGTTGTGCACATCAATGGTTACAAATTTCGAGCCTTAATGGATAGCAGTGCCACCGCGTTGACAACAGCTATTGATCTTAGTGGTGCTAAGGTGAAATCGACTAGCTTTCGTCAAATTGCTATGCTAATGGTAATCACAACCAGAACGATGCAAGTGTATAACATTCAAGTCAGTTCCTTAGCCAACAATTTTAGCTTGAATGTAAATCTCACGAAGATTGAGAACAGGGAACTTTTGTCATTGGAGAACCCTCACTACAGCACACTCATTCAAGAATACAAGCATCTTAAAGAAGTACATATCGATGATGATGATCCCAAGGATCTTCTTCCAATTCATCTCATCTTTGGCGCAAATGACTATGCAAAGATACGCACCAGAGAGAAACTACTCGTGGGTCGCATGGGGGAGCCTGTGGCAGAACCTACAAGATTCGGTTGGGCTATGATGTCACCGGGCGCGGAACAAGAAACAACAGTTGGTTGCTTGGCTGTTAATTCGACAACTGACTACGATAACCTCTGTTCATTGGATATACTTGGACTGGCTGATACTCTCGATCACAAGGAGCATTTCATAGACGAGTATGCTTTTCCAAACGTGACAAAAATATCAAGTTGTTAGTGTTATATATCAAGAAGTCCTTTGTGTTATATATCAAGTCCTTTGTGTTATATATCAAGTCATTCGTGTTATATATCAAGTCATTTGTGTTATATATCAAGTCATTTGTGTTATATATCAAGCCGTTAGTGTTATATATCAAGTCATTTGTGTTTTATATCAAGTCGTTCATGTTTTATATCAAGTCTTCGTGTTCTATATCAAGTTCTTTGTGTTCTACATCAAGTTCTTCGTGTTATATGTCAAGTCGTTTGTGTTTTATATCAAGTCGGTTTGTGCGTGCATGTTAAGATGTCAGCTTGTTTACATCAAGTTTTACATTCGTGTTATACATCAAGAAAGGAGAAGATAGTTTTTGATCGGCACTATTTTCACTCGAGGTCAGCCCTATTTCGGATCTGTCAGAGTACCTAGTTACCAGGGCTCTCCATACTCGGCCTAGAAAGGAGAAGATTGTTTTTGATCAGCACGAAAACATATTCAACATGGCTGCGCGAAATCGGTTATATATTCCCAACCTTGAAGAATTCTTTCGCGATTTTCTTCAGCTAATCCGACAATGTAATAACTGTATACAGGAAAATAGTAACGGTGGATTGGCATTATTTCTTGGTAGGTGCCTAGAGGAATATCAACGTTCGCTGCACGTGATGTACAGCAGACTCCGGGATTATCGCAACAACACACCTGATCTTCTGAATGACTTCGAACAAATACTGGACGTTGTTAGTCGTATTAAAGGGAACTTGGAATTACTTTATAGCGATGATTTTGGCGAGGAGTTTCCAGCGAATAATGCACTTTGTATGACGGTAAATAATGGCCTTGTTGGAGAACCTCGCTATGAACTCACGCAAGATCAGATACAAATTTTAAGAGGCGAGTTGGGATTTAGATGGGTAGACATTGCTGCAATATTGGGAATATCGTCCAGAACCCTGAACCATCGTCGTCACAAATTTGGTATGTCAGTCGGACAAGATTACAACTTCTCAAATATAAGTACTGAAGAACTCAACAGGGTTGTTAGTGAAATATTAATATTGACACCACAATCAGGCCTTAGCCTTGTCAGAGGCGCATTGAGGTCTTGAGGTTTACGGGTGCAAAGACGGCGTGTTATAGAAACTGTACAGAGACTTGATCCAGTAACATCTGCACTCCGTCAATCCAGAACTATTATAAGGCGGACATACAGTGTTCCTGGACCAAATTCCTTATGGTATGTATACAATCACAAATTAAAAGAAATACGCTAGTTTATAAGCATATAAATACAAGCTCTAGTACCCCTAGTTAATACATTAATACATTGATATAAGAAGAAATTCAGACATCCACCAAAGAGAAACTCGTTACTCAATTTCCAACTAAGTTATAAGTATTAACTAAATTGCAAATTGTATGTGTTTTTTAGTTTAGTTTAGTTTAGTATATTCAGGGCCATGAAGTTCTCACTGCAAAATGTTAGCTTCGTTAAACCTAATAAAACACTCCTGCTCCTTTATTAAACAGTATGTAAACTGTTGTAGCAGTGTCTAATTAAAAACTCTTTAATTTATGGACGAAAGCTTTTTTGACATTCGGAACCTTTGATAGTCAGATGTGGAGCATTACCAAATATTAGAACAAGGTCAAAGTCAAATCCGCACCCTGGCCCAGGGTGGGGGGGGGGGGGGTTTACATTGACTCATACATTAAATTGTGACAAATGTACACATAGTCAAAAGTTGATAATTTATTAATCTTATTACCTTTTTGTAGGCATATTGATGGGGATCATAAGTTGATTGAGCCATATCGATTTGTTATCCATGGAGGTATAGATAGTTACTCAAGGCTGATTATATATTTACATGCATCAACTAATAACAGAGCAGATACTGTGTTTGGACTATTTCAAGAAGCCATTGCAAGGTATAACATCCCATCACGAGTAAGAAGTGACAAAGGTCTGGGAAATATTGAAGTTGGAAGGTTCATGATTCAAGTGCGAGGAACAAACAGGGGAAGTATATTAACAGGAAGTTCAGTCCATAATCAAAGGATTGAGCGACCATGGCGGGAAGTCCATAGAGTACTTGTTAGCAGGTTTAGAAATATATTTCTATTTCTAGAACAAAGTAATGTTTTCATCTGTACAGATGAGATTCATCTTTATTGTTTGCACTTAGTATACTTACCACTAATAAATCAGGCTCTTACCGAATTTGCACAACAGTGGAACGACGATCCAGTTTCAACTGAGTGCAATTATACTCCACGGCAAATGTGGGTTCAAGGAATGCTGCAATTAAGACATAGCAATTTGACTGCAGTGTTATTGGCGAAGTGTTATTGGTGATGCAGAGCATGTGAATCAAAGAATATGGAGTAGACGAAGAAGGTCCTCTGCCTGTATTAGAGAGTGAGGGGTCTGTTGTTGTTCCTGAAAATTGCATTGCATATATCAGATAATGATCTCGAAACCCTCCAAGAAACAGTTGCTGCTGTGCCATCAGAGAATAACGGAAATTATGCGTTACATGGTTGCACTATCTACAATCACAAGAATTGTTGAGGCTGATACAGCAAATGTTAGAAACTGAGCAGTAATATTCAAATAAGTAACATTTTTTCCAACCCTACTTTTGCATAGGTGATACTTTTGTCTTTTGTGCATGTAATCTTTGAAATGACTGAAGCTTCCATGAACTATTCGATATAGGCAAATAGCATCTGCTTACTTCTGCCATCACTTTTGAAGCATGATCTGCCAGATAGTTGAGATACATTTTAGTACTGGCATCTGTTGGCGAAGAAGGGTACCCTGACCAAAACACCAGGGTCCGGTTGTTCAAAGGTGGGTTAGTGCTAACGTTGGGTTAAAACTTAACCTGCTGTTTTAGTTTATATATTTCTGCACGTCTACTCTGTTTATTTCAAAACTTCAGATACGTCAACTCATATGAAGCAACAAATATTTCCAAATTTATAGACAAGCTGTCAGGAAGTTTGCTTTGAATTTTTGGTTAACCAACAGTTAACTCAATTCAATCCGCCAACATTAATTTCCGACGTATATGACGGGAATATTAAAGAACTTCGCGAGTATTTGCAGTAGACGTACGAAAATACCACCAAAAAATTCCGCTTGATCGATACTATATATTCAGAAATATTCATATAATTTTATTGTTTCTTGCTCAATTTCAAACAAATTTCGTACCTTGAAATGATCAATGCGGTGAAATTTATGCAAATGACACATGGTCAATTTTGCTGTTGCATTTTGAATGTTCCGCCTGATTCAAATGCTCGTCTTTTTGCTTCTTTTCAACGTATAATAATAACAAATATACCAAAAGAATCGCCATCTTCCATTCTATAGCTGGGAGCAGTCTTGGGAAATTGTGAAATAATCTAAGCCTATTATGGCAATTCTCATGATCGGAAAGTGTTCGGCCAACTTCGGATGCCAAATTCTTGGTAAAGCATTACAGTTTCCTGGTAAAAGACTGCAGGAATCACTTCCAGAGTGTTTGTTTACCCTAGATACGGATTTTGATTGGCTTAGGCAGAAAAACAAATCTTTTAGAGCAATTTTCCTGATTATCGCGCACGGGAACGCACAAGCGTTGAAATGTATTGTGTTGTAGTTTTGTTTGAATCGCATTCTGAAGACGTTTTTGGCTTTATTTTGCAAACTGATAGTGCTAGTAATGATGGAATGTCTTCGTATGAAGACAAGTATCTCGACCTGGTATTGGGAGTCGTGTCTGGAGTTTCAAAGCAAGTATTTGTATCATTTCTAGACAATTTCTATTTCAATGTTTTGCCGTTGCCATGGCGTTGTAAATTTATTTGTATTTAGTATAGCTTCACTAGTACGACCAAGTATGTCCTCATATCGCTTTTTTGTGTTGAAATAATCGTTTCATACTGAAATTGACAAATATAAATGGTATTTATTTATATTGTTGAAGAAAGTTTATGGTGTTTTAGGCATAAAAATCTCTGATTCCTAGGCGAAGTAAAATGAGCCTTGAGCACATTTTGGTTGTTTGTTACATACATAATAGCCAAGCATTCATACTTATATCTTACTAGTTTGGCTCTTATTATAATTTTAAGTGGCACCATGTCTATAAAAGTTTTTATTTGCACTGATGAATATATTGATCCTGTTCCTATCTGCTGTTCCTGTTTCATAGCCTCAGGGAAGTAGAGTTCTGATGAGTCATGAGAACCCCACTCACCAACCCAGAGGGAAGGTAGGGGGATGAGTAGAGGTAGAGGGAAGCCCAGCCATTAGGACCTAAGGTTTCGATTTACATTCAAGCTAAGGTTTCCCTGTCTAGCATCCCCACTAGGCCCCATAGTACATGACGAATATGATGATCCTGACGCTAGGAATGTTCTCCCAGATTTTGCTCCTCACTGACATGTCCGGGATCCATTTCGATCAACTGTGAGCTTGAGTTCATTCGGCTCAATGAAGTGTGAGCTTGAGTTCATTCGACTCTTTTTTACTAAGGGAATGCTTCAGGAGGTAGTTTCCTGGCCATACCAATACATATGCCCACATACAAATAACTCAAAAGTTATCCCCATATACTAATAAAGAAGGGTCTTGCAGTCCACCAACCTTGAGAGGTTGATTGCCTTTTAGTATATGCAGGTTTGCTAAAGGTCGACAGTGAGATTGAAAATTATTGGAGTGTAAAAACCTTATATCATGGTCTGTGGGCAATAGAAATAATTTCTCGGGTTAGGTACAAAGCGCTTATGGCGTTTGTGAATATGGTAGATCCTGTACTAAAGACTACAGCAATAAACTGCATCAACAATTGTACTAGCCGTCACAGAATATTGTTGTTGCAGACAAACACAATGTCAAATCAAGAAATAGGTTGGGGATTAGGCAGTTCATGAAAGCTACATGACCTACTATGTGGGGAATTAATCTGTGGGTTGCTGCAGACAATCCTAATGGTTATATTGCGACTTTGAAATTTATACAGGAAGAAGTCCAGATATTCATCGCAACAGATTTGGGTATAATTGTTTTTGTTTGTGGAAACACCACGTAAATTTATTACTGCAGTAATAAATTTACGTGGTGTTTCCACAAACAAAAACAATTATATTTTATCGCCATGCAAACATTCAAAGATTTGGGTATGACGTGGTGATCTGATATCAGTTTGGTTACAGTCTTAGGTCTTTTTTAGTGCAATATGAAGGATATATTTTCACCACATAATCCAATTATGTGCTTTGGCAAACATTACTGCTTTAGCAAACATTACTGCCTTGGAAAACATTACTTTTTTATAACTACTAATTATGATGATGCCAGCCCAACAACACTTGGTCATGCTACTTGCAAATATTTTCATGTTCTAGATTGTGAAAACAATCAATTTATAAACAAATGAGTAGTGATTATTTCAAATTTGAATAGCATGACCAAATTTTGAGGCTGGTTATGCCACTAATAACTAAAGTCAATGGTGTAATGATTATCTAAGAATGTATGTAGTAATTGTAGAAATAAAGACATTTTGCTAATCATGATTTGAGTGTTCTTTTGTGGGTATCACAGACTTATTTTGGTGCCATACTATCTTTGGAGAGTAAGAAATATTGGAAATTTGTATTGATAACATGTTGCAGCAATAAAAAGGACCTTTGATAAAGGTATTTGTTTCATGTGAGCACAAAATGTAAATTTTACTCCACTACCTAGTTTATATAAAAATTCAATAAAAATATTTCTATTTATGCTACATGCATGAAACTTCGGGTACTTGTAGATCATAACCGTGTCTTTCAGTCATATTCATAAATTTTTTTGACATATTTGAAATTTGAACCACTAAATACATTTATGCATAATTGCAACATTTTTTTATATCATAATTTGTGCAAATTAATGCGAGTAAATCGTTAACCAAGCCCCGGATGAAAGCAGAAGTCCTCCTCTTTCGAACGATGCAATTTCTGTTTCCGTGCGATGTATAGTTTGAGAGATATAAGCGTTTGAAACAACACCACTCGAAATTGCTACTTTTCGACCGGATGGGAATGAGTTAAGCCTGTGGTTAAGCTAACCCAGCTTTTAACAACTGCCCCCAGAAGGTCATTCATTGTCTACACCCTCTGAAGAGAAAAGAATCAATAATCTTTCTTAAGAAAATGCCTTTTAAAAAGGTAAATATATTGCAATGACAAGTTTGTTGACTTTGTAGAATGGTTTTTATACCTATAGTTTCCATTTTCTGGGGATTATCCTCACTTGTATAAAATTTCCTCAGCATAATAAAGAGTAATAGAGTTATTTATAGTATTGTTTGTGGAAACACCACGTAAATTTATTACTGTTTATTTATTATTAATTTATAATTTATTATTTAGTAGTAGAGTTGCTAAATTAATTTTGACCCATATTGCATTAGGTTTCATCATGTGGCAAGGTTTTCAATTGTTTAATAATTATTTAAGAATTTCTCTTTTGGTTTGTATTTTATATTATATTTCAAACACAGAAGCCTCGATATAACAATGCTTTATTCTATATCAAACACCGTTTTACAGCTAATGAAGATTAGGTACTAAAATGATGTAATAACTCATTTAAACTGTAGCCTAGCAACCATACCACAGAATAAGTACATACCACTGAGCTTTACTATATTACAGCTCAGTGGTACATACATGTTACTCTGTGATCATACACTTCAGTCACAGAATACTATACCACAGAATAGAAAATAGACCAGAAGCCTTACTTTGCCAAAATTAGGCCCGAGATTTTTTATGTGCAAGCGCGAGGCAGCAAGTGTAATCATGACCACAGAAGAGATACATACAGAGCTGTAACTGAACGTGGTAAACAATGGGGAAACTTGTGTTTTCATGTACCCACTTTTTTCAGGCGACCGAGCAAAAAATGATCAACTGCGCGTGCTCGGCAAGTTCCGCGAGCAGTTAAAGTGAGCCATCATCCAATCAGATCACAGAGTAGATACATATACAGAGTTATAAGTAGTGTACTCACTTTTTTGTGCATATGCTCTGCAAGTTGGACGAATCCTATTGGATGAAATTGGATGACGACTCACTTCAACTGCTCGCAGAACTTGCCGAGCACACGCAGTTGATCATTTTTTGCTCAGTTGCTTGAAAAAAAGTGGGTACATGAAAACGTAAGTTTCCGCAGTGTTTACGACGGTCAGTTACAACTCTGTATGTATCTCCTCTGTGATCAGATCATGCATCTAGTAACTTGCCGAGCATGCGCACAAAAAAAGTGGATACACTAGTTACCACTCTGTGTATGTATGTACTCTGTGTTATAACTCTGTATATGTATATACTCTGTGTCACAACACCATCAAACGTGAGCAACGCCATCAATTGCCATCACTAGGTAATAAAGATTGCTGTTTTAACTGTTTTTAAATGCCACAGGTCCAATTAATGGGTCATCGCAACAGGAAGAGACGTAAAAAACAAAAGCATAAAATATTTGCACAATAATTGCAGAATATGCAGCGTACACTTTGAGCATGTCTTGCAAATGTCAAGAAAAACCATAAGCAGCCCAAACGGCATGTAAAATGCACCAAATGCTTCCAAATGTCAATTTATATTAAGCTTGTCCCATTCCTCTGTCATTTGTCGCGCGCTGCAAGCACTCAGAGGAATGGGGTGAGCTTAATATAAATTGACATTTGGAAGCATTTGGTGCATTTTACATGCCGTTTTGGGTTGCTATGGAAAAACCGTTGATTTGAGGAAGTGACGCTGACGTGATGTTTGCAGCAAGTGTCACACGTCATCTAGCATGCGAAATTTGTGATCTGCAAAGCAAAAATCGCGGACACAAAAATGTTAGGGAAATTTAAAGGTGTACAGTGAGACTTCTGGTCTATCTTCTATTCTGTGACTATAGAGAAGTCCATCTCCATTGTTTTTTGCATAAGCGCTATTCATCATGAGGTTTGTCACTCGGCAAGTACCGTAAACAGAAGCAATCCCCCCCAGGAAATACTCAAAATGGCGCACGTCCACAGGGGTAACTGCTTCTGTTTACGGTACTTGCCGAGTGACAAATCGTGACGAATAGAGCTTACGCAACAAAAAAAACAATTATAAGGAGATGGACTTCTTTCACAGAGTAGAGACATATGTATCTACTCTGTGCTTCTGTGTAGTATTCTGTGGTAGTATAGTATTCTGTGCTTCAGTTCTTCATCAGCTCACCGTTTACGTTTGAATCTTTGTCGCTCATCAACTATTTTATTAAAAAGGCTTGCTTGTTTCCCAAAAATTGTGGTTTTATGACCGATTCTGATGAGGCAGCTGGGGACACAATTCAGGTGGATCCTGAACCTACTCCGCGACCAAGTTCGCGAGAAAAAGCGCCGGTTTCTGAACCGAGGAAAAACGATGCTTAACGCCACTCGATGGCTCGGCCAGAAAATTCGAAAAAACAAAACCTTCGTCTAATTAAAAGGCTCCAAGAAGAAGAGAAACAAGTTTCCTCGACGTTATTCATTCTGAAGTGTCGAGCAAGAACACTTCCCGGCACTTAAATGAAACTGTCGAAAGTGTCTTTGCAGAGTCCAGTGTTCTTGACCAAAGTATTGTTGATTTCACGTCCGAAAAAAGTTGATTCTTTTGACTTTTGTGAAAAAAATATTTGAAAAGACACGGCACAGCTTTTAATCCGGTCATGAATCAGCGCCAAATGAATATTGCTGGCCGTATTTTGGATCCACTGGGTCCCCTATAACTCAACTGTGGCAAGATGCCCTTACTGCAGAGACAGAAAAGACAGGTTTAGATCCTGCAGCAGTTATAAAGTTGGCCCATCGAGCCATCACACTGGCAGGCAATGCATCCTACTGCGCTCTTGTTGACCTGAGTAATTGATGATCGCGAGTTATTTTTGCCTAATTCTGCAGATTTGTTCAGGAAAAAAATCAAGAAGGCTTTCTTGAAGGAGCTGGAGCTCTCGAAGGAAGGAAGTAAGAAACTTGATTCCTTGGTGCGCTGGAAAAACCATGGCAACACTAAGGGGTGGACCATTAGATATCCTGGGAGGGGCTTGGGGGGAGGGGGCTGGCAGATCCAAAAAAAATTCATGCAAGGAGTTGAATTCCTGTAAGCACTTGGGGAAAGAAAAAAAATTCGTGCAACTTCATGATATATCCAAGTGAAACTTATTGAGCACAGGCAGTAGTTTAAAAGCGCTAATATGGCTCATTTTCAGATATTTATAACTTTACAGTACTTGTCAGTGATACATGTACATGCTATGCTGTACAGTATGTAGTCTATGTACATGCTGTAAAACATTTAATAACATCAATAACATTATAGATTGAAAATGAGGTTATATATAGAGCATATCAGGCCTGTAACTAGCTGGGTCAACCGAGTCAGTTGACTTGGTAAGATTTTTGTGAAAAAAATTCAAAACAGGAGACTTCAAGTTTAGAGAAAACAGATCCTGAATGAAATTTATTCAAAGGTAGAACTCATGGCCGTAGAGACCGGGGGGTGTGGCGGGGTGCAACACCCCCCTGACAATTGCACACGAGCTATTTCAGGTAGATTTCCAGTAGATTTTCGGGTAAATTCAGGTAATTCTCAGGGCATAAAACACGGTGGGAAAGTAAGAAAGCAAATTGGGCCACTTAGTTATAACTTTCTGACCTTAGTTGGGAATATCACGAAACTTCCTCACAGGATAGAACTTAACATTGCTAAAAATCGTATCATTTCTGTTGTTCGATTTTGTTACATTTTGGCAGGAAAATTATGTGCCAACTTTGGCGCCAAAAAATTAAACATGAGCTAAGAATATGCTAGTAACTTTTTTGAAGAGATTGTCCTATAAGGATCTCAAAACTGTAAAAACATTGAAAATACAACAAGACAGTGCGAAGATATGGCGATTCAAAGTTCGAAAAAAATTCTATTTTTAGTAACAAAATGGCGGATTTTTCAGATCTTTAAGCACCATATCTTTGCACTGCTTTGGCATATTTTCAATGTTTTTACAATTTTGAGATCCTTATAGGACAATATCTTCAAAAAAGTTACTAGCATGTTCTTAGCTCGTGTTTAATTTTTTGGTGCCAAGCAAAATCGAAAAACAAAAATGATACGATTTTTAGGAATGGCAAGTTCTATTCTGTGAGGAAGTTTCGTGATATTCCAAACTAAGGTCTGAAATTTATAAGTAAGTGGCCCAAATTGCTGTCTTATTTTCCCACTGTGAATGTGAACTCCATGCTCTGAATAGGAATTAGAGTTGACAATCGACCAACTAAAGATATTGAGGAATGAGAGGTGTCATGGCAGGGGGGACATGGCCAAAAACCCTTTCTGACGATCTGGAGACTTCAAATTTTCTCAATTTTCCACGTAGTCACATTAATTGAAGGCATTGAACTTTATAAATAATAATACTTATCTTCATTGTTAGGTAATACTAAAATATTGAAATATTGGGTAGGAAAGACTCTAAAATGCATGTATGTATAAAATGCACTTGGCCACTCCAATCATGGGGTATTGATTCTCCCATTCCTGAGGGTCACTTAGTCATAATTTATGGTTTGGGGGGTGGGAGGGTGGCATTTCACACCTACGCCCTCTCAATATCTGCATGACCCCCTCCGGCAACAGCAAAGCTCACATGACCTCCCCAAGAAAAGACCAAAAACTTTAGAAATGGTATGTACATTATCAGTTAAACAATTAAGAACTAAAAGTCTTTATTTCATCACATTAGTAATAGTGCAAAAGCTCCTGTAAACTTGTAACCATTTACAAACTCTGGTGACCCCACAAAAAGAAACACCAAACTTACACCCCCCCCCAATTTTACCTTCCCCCTCCACCCACAGACCATAAATAATGAACACTCCCTTACCCAAGTTATTCCCTCAGGCCGATTAATGGTTGGCTCTTGCTGGCTCTGCCCACGCTTGACTTGATATGTCAGCGCGAGTTGCGTGCGCGATTAAACATATCTAGCGTGTTGCCATTTGAGTGCGTTTTGGCGTTCGAATGAAACTGAAATTTAATAAATATGAGCTGTTGGATTATTTTATATTATGTTAGATTATAGCAACCAGCAGGGATGAGTAAACTATCAGTTTTTCTTGTACAATTGGCTGTTGTATAGTATAATATATCATATGTGATATGCGGCGACCTTTGATATATAAAGCTCGCTATTGCTGGTTTTTATGTCTCAATTATTCAACATCGATTTGTGATTCCTCTTTAGTTTCCCACTCACAAAAAATATTTGAAATACAAATAAATACCCAGCATATGGATGGTTCAAACTGTTTTGGGGTGGTGATGTTTAAGTGTGACAAATTTCTCTTAAAACCCTTAAGGATGCAATAAATGTTGTTGACGTTGTTGAAATATAATATCCTTTCATATAAAGACTCAGACTCCTGTTGAATATTCTCTTATTATATAAACGAAAATATGTACTAATCATATTGTACTTCTGTACATATTTTTCTGTCTGTTCCTCGCATATTATTTGAATACACTACTTACTAGTTGCAAATGGTTTATCAGTCATTGTGTATTTGTATTTCATAATATTTTGTTTCACGGCAGGGGCCTATATTAATGATCATGGCGTGTGCGAATTCATCACGCAAAAAACGCGTTGGACTTGCCGACTCACAAGACAGCGTTAATGTCGGTCGCTAATACGTAGATTTTGTCCAGAGTACAGCCAACTTTTGTCCTACAATAAGATTTGTAAGCATTGTAATCTGGAACGATCGTTTTAGTGCAAATTATATTGACATTGTGTGAGACATTGTTGTATTCACAGCAATATTTTCATATCAGTGGCATAATCGTTAAGTTTCTAATTACCACAATGCAGTATAAGAGTAAAAGGTTCCGTGATAATATTTTTGTACATATCCATGAATGTTTAGTGAGTCGGCAAGCCGTGTTTTTAAACATTAAGTTAATTTCCATTATCACCGCCTATATCTTGTCACATAACCAGTTTCCATGGAAATCAAATAGTTGAAAAATATCGGCAGTTGATTTGCAACATCTCACTCAAAAATAAGAGTCATAGTGTACTTTGTTCATTTTTAATTAATTTTTAAAGATTTTTTCTATTTTCCCACTCCTTACGAAATTGGAGCCAGGCATTAATGCACCTGAGCCCCTGCTATCAGAAACGAAGTTCACTTGCATTACAAAGAACCATTACAGTTTTGATGTGCCTCTGATTTTCATATGCTTGATAAAACACTTCTATATCCCAACCACTTAGGCCACTATTTGTTCCAGGGCCGTCCCCAAATTTGATACAGGCGGGTGGCCAGCCATTACCATCATGTCATTTAACCCATTGAGTTGCATTGCACCCTGATGTCCCCTACTTTATTATTTTACTCTGCCTAACACCAGAGATTTTACTCATCAAGTTTAATATGTTAATGAATGAGTTAATGAATGGGTTAATATGTACATAGAGTGTCGCCTTTGTGCATGCTCATACAATTTTCTGTTTAATTAATTAAAGTTTTCATTGATTTCTGGTACGATATTAAAATGTAAAGCAATGTGTTGCTATTTGAGCTTCGAAAAAGCGTCTAAGGCAGGAAAGAAATGGTATTTTGCAAAAAAAGTAACATTTAGTGGTTCGTGACAGTTATATAGTGCATTATAGTAAAGGTCAGAAACTGAATTTTTCTCAATATTTTATTGTTTCTCATATTTGATTTTGTAAAAGTCATAGGAGGTACTATCCATCCAATCAATTTGCCAACAAATACAGAGTTGAGTAGGAGAGCATTGCTAGGAATCATAAAGCAAGGACCCTTGTATGTCAGGGCAAAGTCCAGTCTTGTAAGTACATATAATCCTCTTTTTTAATAAAATAATGTAGAAATTAACCTAACTTCATTAAGCTAGTATTAGGCCAAACAAAAAAAATAGATACGCAGTGCGCACATGTGACCATCGCTGTTTAGACAGCTATGGTTTAGTCATTTTACACCCAAGTATAGTGTATAAAACACGCACAATATCGTTCATATATTCTCACTCTGCTTTTCTAAACAACGTGCAAACTAGAACTACCCAGTACCCATAATACCCCCCAAGCATCATTAATGTCCTCAGTGTTCCTGTTGTTACTACTTACGTCACAGGACACTATACCAAGCACATTTCACAAATAGCAAATATCAGAAATGTAATGAGGTGTGAGGTGTAGCTCATCAACACATGCAGGTATCCTTTCAAATTTAAATCGAGCATAACGCCATATTCTATTGAATTTATCTGACAAGCTATAATTGTTTCAAACAAGTTTTCAAGTTTTTTTGAAGTGCGCTGTTCAATTACAGAAATGTTTAGTACTTTTATAGTTTTAAAAAAATACTTTGACATGCATTTTGTATACTGCAGGAAATTGATGATGACTCTGACAATGAAGATGATAGTTTATTGGAGCCTAATTGTCCGGATGAATCAGAGAGAATGTGTCGATCTAACAAAAGTATTATGTCATATGTAACATCCTCATCAAATGCTGCTGAAGAAGTTGCAGATCACCATGATAGCATCCCAACCACCAGTTGTAGCGGCAGGCGTCTTAAGACAGAAGGTATCTTATACATGTGATCAACATTTCTGTTCATGATTCTTATATCTAATTAATTTTACTAATGTCATGCACTTACCTCCAAGTAGACTTTCCAAAGTCCGCGGTTCGTGGTTCCTGGAAGCTACGGACTTTTGTCACCCGCAAGCGCGCCAAAATCACCGGTGCATTTTTGCTCCGGTGACGTCAGTGAATGCTCATTATTATTCTGTACTAACGACGCCATTTTGTAAAATTTATATTTAATATAAACCATTGATAAACAGACTCGCCATCCATTGTGAATATATGGAAAGTCGCATGAACAAAACAATAATGAACAAGACACTCTATAGAGCGTTAACTGGGGCTGTACACCGTACAAACACGCACATAACCGTATATGATTCATACATGCATGCAGGACACAGTTGTTTCACTTAAGATTTATGGTTGTCCCTTGGTTGTCCCGAGCTAAGCGGAACTGTCGAATACGAGCGACAAAGGGTTGAAGATTAAACTTTTCAGTTACAGTTTTGTTCACTCTGTTTTGAACTATATCAACATGTAACAGTGCTCTGTCTATCATGCAACCTACTTTATTATTTTAATGTCTTATATACCAGTCGATTTTGCTTGTCAAGGGGAGAGTGCTGCCGCTCTCAAATTGGCTAGGTTTGTATTGCAGGTAGGTGGCTCAGTTTTGAAGTTTCTGTTAATATAATGAGCCCAGCTCATGATTTTATACAATCAGACACAGTACCAATGCGGCCTATACAAACAAAACTCCCGGCGTTAGTCCACCGGCTAGGATTTATAAACAGCGCTTTAAAACGTTAAAAATAAAATAGTTTGGGGCCTTTGGGCACAAAATACTATCAAAATGAAGAGAGAAGTGAGACACATCCACTGGTATACGGCCGAAAAAGAGAAAACCAACGATACCAAAATTATCAAGGATCAAACGTACTGCATTTTTTATAATTAGTTGAATAATTTTGAGCGATTCGTTCGCAATACAATTTCGCGTGGATTTTACTGTAAAGATAAAGGCCATAAATCGCTAGAATACCGTTGTTTAGTGATACATTTGACATCTGTAAGTACAATTTCTTACGCTGAATCGAACGTTGGTATTTTTATCCTTATTGCGCCATTAGCCATTACAAATACAATATATTTCACACTACAGTTTTCACGTTTCCACAGCTATTAACAACAATTTAATATAGGGACTGTTGTTGGATAAATTTTATATTGATATGACTTCTCGTAAAGTAGTTATCTATTACAGTAAAAGTAAGTTGTGTAGTTTCCTGTAAGTTATAATTTTACCTTGAAATTGTCTTTGCCTCGTTTATATTCAGATTCAGTATATTATGATCGTGCACAGGAATTCGACGATCCAAATTTCGGATTTTCAGAGTCGTGCACAAAGAAAAACGCATTAACTAAACTGGCAAGAATGTCTAGAGTTAGACACAATGCAAAATCCATAAAAAACAGCTACAATTCGTTGAAAATTTTAACGAAATTGTTTGAAATATTTTGGCCACTCCACGAAAGGCCCCAGCGTGTCCCAGCAAGTAACTAGTGAAATTGACATGGTGAACGCCCACTATCTCATAATTGATTTTCACGCCAAATTTTTCAGTAAGATTCAAAATCAGGCAAGTGACACAAGTCGCTCGCTTCCGTCTTTCTCAAGCGCTCCCTTCTTGCTACGCGCGGTCCCTAGCGAGCGACTTGGGCAAGTCTAACCTCCAAGCTGTCTATATATTAACCCATTAAAGCACAAGTAGAATAATCTGGCCTTATGCACATCAAATAATAAAGTAGGGTGCATATGCTGGTGTGGCAAGACAGTTTTGTTCACTACAATTGACAGCTAGGACGCAATTTCTAGTTTTTAAAATTATTTTTAATGTTGCCATTGAGTGGTAATAATTTTGATATTTACCTTTTCAATTCACTAAAAAGAGACTAGAATGTATACAGTACAGGGTGTAATAAAAAGTGCACAATTTTTTTGCATATTCCGCAAAAATTTTATGTAAAGTAATACGAGTAGTTCGGGTCTTTCCGATTACTTTACCACCAAAATTATTTTGAAATTAATTTTAAAAGTAAATTTTCAAATGCAAGAGTGCTGTTTTTAAAAAGCTATTTAAATAGCACTCACGCACAGTGACAGAGAAATAAATGGTTTAAAGATGCAAGATTGGATGGTATTTAATGATCAACCTACCAATATTACAAATAATTTGATGTGTATCACACAAAACCACTAAAAACTATTGATTGAAACAACTAATTAAATCTGATTTTATACCTGAATGATTTCATTATAAAAAAAATCTGTTGTTGCATTTAAAAAATTGTGTAAAATACTAATATGGCAAAAGTCCTGTGAAGTTTAACCATTTAAAGCCGGTTTTCCACTAGCGATTTTTTCCCCGCAAATTGACGTTATTCTTTTATCTAAAACTAATTAGTTCCACATGGTTCCAGCCGAAACCTCAAGGACATATGCAAATAGTTGAAATGGCTTAAGAACCGGCTTAAGTGGCAATGCGCCCGACTTTATTATTTTACTCTGTCTAACGCCAGACAATTTTACTTGTCAGGGGGAGAGTGCTGCCACTCAATGGGTTAAAGTTTTAGTGGTTTCACACTGTGGGTAATGTACACTTACACTGAGCAAGTGAGCATGTAAATGTACAATTAGGGACATAATCACTTCATCACTGTTTATTATAGAACACACACAGCAACTTGCTGATATGTTCCCTGATATGCAAAGGCATGCTCTCAAAGAAACATTCAAAACTTCCAACTATGATATTCATACAGCTGTTTCCACAATTCTTAATGCTGGAAAAGGTATGAGATATAGCTAATTGTGGTTTAAACACTCTCAATACTCTACCAAAGAGTTTTGGAAGTGTGTTACAATTACTGTCGATGCAATGGAAGTGTTGATAAAATATTACATGAATTCATTTCCTCAAGTTGATCAATTCATACAAATTCAAATTTCTTTTTACTTCCTATTGGTCAATCGGTTCTGAAACGAAATCTAATTGGCTCATCTAAAAGTAACAGGAAGTTGATCAATTTTCTATCAAATGAATTGATCAACTTGAGGAAAGGAATTGGTGCAATATTTATCAACACTTCCATTGCATCGACAATAAGACTGCATTTGCCCAGAATAAGATACAGGGTAAAGCTAGTGAGGCATTCATTGTAATGGTATTATGGTACTGACCTGGAGGTGCATGCCAAAATTTCTAGACTTGAAGAAAACAACATAGATTTGCAAGCCACAATCTTCAACATACTTGGTGCATCAAGTACTTTATTAGGGCCTACGTACTTAAAGAGTTATTATGAAACATAACGTGAGAAACAGCACAAAATTTCCTCCTAGTTTATTAATTAACCCATTGAGTTGCATTGCGCCCTACTTTAACACCAGACAATTTTACCAATGAAAGGGAGAGCGCCAGTATTCAGTGGCTAAAACCCTAAAATGTGTTTAATAAACTTTGGACCAGTCCCTTGGTTTTCAATACACTTTTTAGTCTATTGAAATTCCTCATGTATTATATGTTGTTATATTAATTACTTACTTCACCTACTTTTTGACATAGAACCAGATGTGCAACACATAGCCGAAAAACAAAATGAAGTTGGCAACAGTGAAGTGGATACTGATGATTCAGATGATGTAGAAATATTGATGAATGCTCCATTGTCATCAGGCGCTATATTTAATAGCAGTGAGAATGCCCTTGAAAATTTGCAAAGATTCGTGAAAGCTGTTGTTCCTCAGTTTGGAGAGGACCTAGATGTCCACACCCATAGGCGTACGGGGCCGTTAAATTCTGGGGGGGCGGTAGCTTTTTTGCCCAATAAATTCCACATTGCCCAAAAAAATTTTTTCTGGAAAAATTATTTTGGCGACCTCCCCCCCCCCACCAAAAAAAATTTCGGTCAGTGTACCATTTTAGGGGTCAAAAAAATTTTCCGGACAACCAATATTTTTCGGAACATAACACAAATTTTCCAAAAATCACAAAATTTGCCAAAAAATTTACTTAATTTTAGACAAAATTGACAGAATTTGTCCCATTTTTTTTAATTGCAAACCAAAATTGCCCGACTGTTGATCGAATATTGCCCGACTGCCCAAAAAACTGGGAAATTGCCCGACTGCCCAAAAAACTGGGGGGCTACCGCCCCCCTTGCCCCGTACACCTATGTCCACACCAACAGGAAAACAGATATCATACCACAAGTGATGCGGAAATATAAGAACCCCACATTTGACATCTCCAAACCATTAAATGTACATTTTGCAGACAAACCTGGATTAGATGGAGGAGGACTTACACAAGAGTACTTTCATCTCCTGATGAAGATGTTACAGAGACGAGATGGGTCACTTATCTTATTTGAGGGTTTAAATGGACACCTCGTTCCAATTCACAACTACGATATTTTCTCTGGTGGATTGTTTGTCCTTCTCAGGAAAATCATTCTTCATGCTGTCCTGAATAGTTGTAGTGGAATGCCTGGGTTATCCCCAGCAGTTGTCGCCTACCTGTTGACTGGCAATCGTGATGCTTGTGTCGAGCATGTCAAATTGGCAGACATACCAGATCCTGTTCTCCAAGACAAGTTAGATAAGATTGTTTTTATTTTTTAAAGCTTTTGGACGTGCAATAAAAAAGTTTAGGGTCGGGATTTTGATGATGCTTGTAGTGTTTTCACTTAGAGGAAAACATTTGTGGAAAATTGAAATTTGAGGCAATATTAGGGAAATTTATCTTTGGATGTGGAAGCACTGACTAAACAAAATGGCGTCCGGTTATTAGGAAAATTAAAAAAGAAGTTAAAACCAACCTACCCTACCTAAGTTTTTATAAGAAGAAATGGGAAATCTACATTTTTTTGCCTAACGAAATGTTGGTTAACCACTTCAACCAAAGTGAAATGTACCGTAACTGATATTCAAGGCATATGACATGTGGACAGAACTAGTGCCTACGTGCCAACAAAATAGATTGGTGCGTCTGCAATGACAGACCGAAGTTTATTATATAGTAGAGAGTGAGATACTGAAAAATACACAGCGAGATATTTTCCATATCTTCACTAGTGAAGTTATCGATCATGTGACTTTTAGTATTTATACATTTTTTTGCTTGGGACTATATAATAAACAGAACATTACACGGTACGTGGCTTGAAGATATGACTTTTATCTTCTCGTGTTAAAAACAAACTCACTCGCTGCACTTGTTCATAAAATATTGTTTTCACCACTCAAAGATAAAAGTCATATCTTCGCGCCGCCCTGTAATATCCTCTATATCCTGTGGTAAATCAAATAAATGATTATTATAATTCCTTTTCAATAATAAAATGTGTAAGTCATGGTTAAGTTTGGTTAACTTAAGCGTACAATGTCAATTGGTAAATATATTAAGGGGCCGTTGACAAATAGGTTTCGTCACGCGTAACAGCAAATTGGCCGCTAAGGCCTTGACCCCCTCCTAACCCCCCCACTTCGCGGCAAACTTTTCAAGGCCTGAATTTCAGCAGTTTTGCCTTTGTCATTGAAAACAATGAAATGGATGTACCTGATATGGCTCTAAAAGAAACAATGAAGTCAAGACCTACTTCGAAATGTACATTTCCGAATTAAGTGAATATGGAGCGGTATTCGGTTAAAAAATATCGGCCGAGTTGTTTACAGGTCAATGCGATCATTCAGAATTCGTCGTGTCTGCTTGTTGCATTAGTATGCCTTAATACAATGTGTTCTGCCTGTTTAACATATGTCTGAATGCAATACGTTTTGGCTAAACAAATTATGTTCTACCTGATCGAAATACGTTTCGCCCGAATGTAATGTATTGTGCATGAGAATGTCCAAATGACGTTTGTACATCATCCGATTTTCAGCCGTAACGTCCTGTTATTTTTTACCCTTTCACAGCACGTGGTGAGCACAATGTTCATCCTTTCTTCCACCATCTGACCCACTTAACCACGTTTCAAACCTGCTGAATATGGACGGCGATGATACACTATCCATGTCGGTTAAATCATTGGTATAAATTCGTCATCACTTACGCTCAGATCAGACACAAAACTCCTGCTACTTTTGGCTGCATCTTTCATGTTCGAATATGATGGCAAATCCTGTTCTGGCAAATCCTGTTTGCTGAACTTTTGAAAGATCTGCTTTTCAATGCTTATAGTCATGTGATGAGTCAGAACCATCATAATTAGAAGAACCATCAGAGTCTTACGAGATTATGATAGGATCGTACTACTCTAATTCACAAATTTACACCAAACTCTGGGAACACTAAATTCATACATGTTGTAGCAGCACATACGTTTAAACTAAGGCATTAATTACACTATGTTACGTTTATTTGATTAAAACCACTTAAAAAACTGTACCACAGGAACTATAAGCAGAAGAACCCGCTTTATTTAATGAAATACTGCACACAATTACACCAAACTTTGGTAACACTAAAAGCAGACATGTTGCATAGTACTTACAATTAAAATAAGGAATTTGTCAAATTATTTGTCCATTAACTCCTGCTTACAAACTCATCAGACCATATTCTTTTGTATTTTGTCAGTTTTTAACTCCTCCGTAATAACCTTCAATCTAAAAGCAGACAGTGGTATTTGATTTCTTTGGGGGAAATGCTGGGTTGAAGGTTATTATGGAAAATTCAAAAACTCATTAATAATTCATGAAGCAATTATCCAATCTTGAGTAAGAAATTACTAATGTGCATACGTCTTTATACCAGTTAAAGAACACTTTATTATGCAATAATACAAAAGACGATTGTTATGCAAACTATATAAAGATTTTTATATAAAGATTCTATATAAAGATTTTTATATAAAGATTTTTCATATCTGAAATCTATTACCTGAACGTATCTATTGTTTACAATTAATATTCAGATTTGACTTTGCAGGTCGTGTTTTATTAGGTCTAAAGCCCTAATAAAACACACTTTTTAAATAGTACTTAATAACCGGGTACCAGGTATTAATTTTCTATAATAACTTGGTACCAGGTTATTAATTTTCAATAATAACCTGGTACCCGGTTATTATGAAAAAATAACCAGTTACCTGGTTTTATATTTTCAAGTCAAGACCTGGGGCATGAGTCTTGAATTCGGGAATGAATTTGCAGGAAAACTCAACACCTACATCTCGTTTTCGACTAGAAAAATGCTGCATATCTCTATGTCGAGAAAGAGACAACAGAGGTGACTCCATGTTAAGATATGTTAAAGGTTGGGAACTATCAACTGGTCGGCAAAATGTATCAGTCAAGTCTTTTTTTGGCGCTACTGTTGACTATATGAGCGATTTCTTGAAACCAACCATACGCAAGCATCCAGACAGACTGATTATACATGCTGGTACCAATGACATATGCAAATCTGATCCTAAAACTGTAGCGGACAAAGTCACCGACCTAGCAAAGCAGTTCAAAAAGGATTCCAGTAATACAGAAATCATTATCTCGTCCTTGGTAGTGAGAACCAATGGTCCGGAACTTGCGAAGAAGGTAAAACAAACAAACATTGTATTAAGGTCAAATTGTATTTCAAACAATCTAACATTTTTAGATAACAGCAATATTAATTACTCACATTTAAATTATCGAGGATTGCACTTAAATCGAGAAGGCAGTGCTCTACTTCAAAATAATATAACAAACATTTTAAAATCTAAGGATTGAATCGAGGAAAGGCCGAGGAATAAAGTTCATGAAACATGGTTGAATATCCAAAAAACAAGGGGGTTTAAAATGGCTATGCTTAATATAGCTAGCCTTCCAAAACATGTTGACGAAATATGTTTGATGTTACATGATAAAAAAATTGATATTTTAGCGTTTAATGAAACCCACCTAGACTCTTCAATTTCTGACGAGCTAGTTGGTGTCGATGGTTATGACCTATTGCGTGCCGATCAAACAAGAAATGGGGGAGGTGTTTGCATATACATAAGATGTAACATAAATTACCAAAAACGTCCTGATCTAGTTCCAAATGACCTTGAAGCTGTCTCTTTAGAAGTTAGACAAGCGAGTAGTCAGTCTTATTATTTCAAGTGTTTACAGACCACCAAATTCCAAAACTGAAGAAAGACTATTCCAAAACTGATAGAAAGACTTATTCAACTAATTGATAAAGAAAACAACGAGGTCTACATCTTAGGAGATTTAAACATTAATTTCTTTGGACCAAATCTATCTACTGGTAAAAAGCTTCAAGAAATAATGGAACTATATCAGTTGACACAAATAATCGATGATCCAACTCGAATTACTGAATATACAAAGTCACTGATAGATGTATGTATTACGTCTTCACCTGGAAAAATTATTTCTTCAGAAGTAATACATCTAGGTATTAGCGATCATAGTCTTATTTATGCAATCAGGAAACTTAATTATGTTCCAAAAACTGGATCACGGAATCAAATTGAGTACAGAAATTTGAAACAGTTTAATGCTCAAAGCTTTCTGAATGACTTGTACATATTGCCATGGTCTGAATTAGATAATAAACAAAATGTCGATGAGATCTGTGAATGCTGGAAATCCTTATTTATCCAAGTATTGGACAAACATGCCCCACTTAAAACAAAGAGAGTAAGAAAAAAGGGTAGTGTACCTTGGATAAATAAAGATATCAAGGCTAAGCTATTTGAAAGGGATTTTCTAAAGCGTAAAGTGATAAAAACAAATGAAGAAAGTGATTGGAATAGGTACAAGTCTTCTAGAAATGCATGTAATATTGCCTTGCGTCATGCAAAAAGAGAATACTATGCAACAAAATTCCTAAATCACAAAAACAATCCGAAACATGCCTGGAAAACAATTAATGATATCTTAGGATGAAGTTACAACCAAAATACTATTCATCAAATTAAATTATCTGGAAAATCTATCACTTTGACAGAGCAGTTAAAAGAGGTTTTTAATGAATACTTCACAAACATAGGTCCTAAGTTTGCTCAAACGATCGAGCATGACAGCGATAGTAACTTTGGAGACTTTATTACCAAACAATACCCTGGTTCCAGAGGTTTAAAATAAACCTCTGGTTGAAAGCGGCAATCGATTCATCGAGCCGTGCCAATCAGTTTGAATTAGGGTTAGTTCCTGACTCTGTCTCCTGATTGGATGATTGTACTAAAGCTCTCTGATTGGTTATAGATGTATTATTTGAATCAATCAGAGAGCTTTAATACAATCATCCAATCGGGAGACAGAGTCAGGATCTGACCCTAATTCAAACTGATTGGCGCGGCTCGATGAATCAATTGCCGCTTTCAACCAGAGGTTTATTTTTGCTCTGCCCTTCGCAATGAAAATAATAAAAATAAACCTCTGGAACCAGGGTAACCAAACAAGAACCAGCTCAAAAATTTTCTTTTGAGGCTGTAAATTAATTTACGGTATACAGGCTTAATTATCACAAAATTACCTGCTTCGAAAGCTACAGGTGTTTACAAAATTTCTGCAAAAGTTCTTCAAGTTGTGGCTCCTGCTGTTGCACAACCATTGACCAAAATGTTCAACAAATCAATTGTTTTGGATCAGTTTCCATCAGAATGGAAAGCAGCACGAGTAATCCCAGT